GGGATGTCAGTGTCACTGCCTTGACAAATTTCCCTCATAATATACACTGCATCATGTTGCCATGTTGTCAATGAAGCAATACAAACTAGAGCAGTAAATATTTCTAAATTTTTAAGCATTTGTTCCAGGATTACCTGCCATGATGGAGCAGTTTTAATATATGGTTTTTTTTTTTGCATTTGTTCCAGGATTACCTGCCACGATAATAGAGTCAGAAATAGTTTCTGAATTTTTAATAACTTGTTGAAAGATTACCCACAATGATGTTTTATCACCATCAATCAATAAATAATTTCATAAATCATAAAGCAGAAACAACGACAGCCCACAGACACCAAGCTGTTGTCATGTACGTAGGGTGGCTTTGTTTAACTTGACATTACTTTACAGCTGATTACTGGAGGCTGACGTCTTCACGGTTTTTACAACCCTGAGTCAATTAAATACAGAAACATTATGAATCTACAAAATATCTTTCCTCTTAGTCCAAGGGAGACAACTACAGTAAATGATGCAGAATTTTTCATGCTTAACAACAGACAATAGTATATTAACTGAAAGAGCTTGCAAGTCAGTTTTTTGACCTAGTGTACAATCCAATCAAATCGCTCCATTTAAAAACTTTTTAAGGGCGGACCTGTTACCCAAGAGCTATGGGTCTGCTTACATAGAAAGGGAATTCTACTTACTTGTGGTTGGTGGAGCTGGTGGAGCTGAACATGTACCAGTACCATCTCGCACCAGATTGGGTTCACATTGACACGTTCCTATCCTGGACATTGATTCCTCTTGGAGGGTACAAACTTCTTTCTTGGGGCATTGTTGGAGTCCATATTCACACTCCTTCACACTAGGGGTCTCTGTCAAATCTGTCCCAGTTTTGGATGCTGCTTTGTCGTAGACTGAAATGATGATCAATTTCGATTGGTTAAGGATTTGCTTTTTGGCCAATTAGATTCATTGAAACAAAATATTATGCAAAAACCACATTCTGTATTTTCAAGTTTGCCTGCCTCTTATATTGTGTAATTATCAATTCTTAATAATCTCAATACTATGAAGTGTGCAATGAGGGATATTTTGTCAGTATTTGTATAGTATATTTTGGTATTTCAGAAACTGAACATTGTATTTCAGTATCTGAGTAAGGAATTTCAGTATTTTAGTATATATAGATAATATATTTCAGTATCTGAGTAAAGTATTTCAGTATTTTTATACTGTCGTGTGATTTGTATGATCTGGCATAAATTAGGAATAGTTTTCAATTAGGAGGTAATAAAAATGGCAGAGATAATGTACGGAAGGAAGTCACATGACTGATGATATAGTGGAGGTAATTGTCTAAACCAATCAATACAATCAACATTAAAACCATCAAGACTTATTGATTTATTACAATTTATATTGTTTACTCTTTGTCTTCTGCCTGTTAGATTTTATTGAATAAATAAATGAATAAAGGAATGAATGAATAAAGGAATGGATTAGGGATTTATTAATGGATTAATGAGTGAATGGAGGGATTAATGAATTAACCAATGAAAGAATGGATTAATGAATGAATGAATGGATAGATGCATGAATAAAGGTGATTTGTTTCAAGTTTTTTTTAAGTTATTACACAAGTCATCCACGATCTGATTGAAATCCTCTTGAAATGTTCTTGCTTTTGCTTTTATTTAAGAGATCATTTGATTGGTTGAATATTTAATGACCTAGAACAGGAGATGCAGAACAATTTATTCAGATCATGGATAGCAAATGGAGTCAACTGCAGAGGAAATCCTCTCCAAAACAATTTGAATTTCAGTCATATTTGGCAAGTGGGTACCTTTAACAGCAAAATGTTTCTGTGAAGGTCGAAACCTATATGTGAACAATACATAAACATGAAATTAAAGACTCTTCAACAGTGGAGGTAACATATGTCTGTGTAAACAAATTGATTATTGGTTAACAAAGATTTGTAGTCTAAAATGTTTTACATGACAACAGATATAAGCTTTACTTCAGAATCAATTATTCAAATATAGAATGAATGCAGTATGTATAATGTTCTAGACTTAGCTAAAGTTCCCTTTATTGTACACTGCATGGAGTTCAATGTTCCACAATGTTTCAATTTTATTCCCCTGTTGAAAAATAAGTGCCCGCAACTTGTATTTGCCAGTCATATCTGACTGGTTCTCAAAATTTCTGATCAATTACAAATTCCTGATCAATTAAAAAATCCTGATCAATAACAAATCCTGATTAATTAAAATCTGATCAACTACAAAAGACTGATCAATTACAATTACAAATGACTGATTCATTATATATTCCTGATCAGTTACAATGACCAATTACTGATCAATTACAAATGACTGTTCAGTTACAAATGACTGATCAATTACAAATGACTGATCAGTTATAAATTCCTGATCAATTACAAATGACTGATCAGTTACAAATGACTGATCAACTACAAATGACTGATCAGTTACAATTACAAATGACTGATCAATTACAAATGACTGATCAGTTACAATTACAAATGACTGATCAATTACAAATGACTGATCAGTTACAAATCCCTGATCATTTACAAATTCCTGATAAATTACAAAGACCGATCAGACGGACGTTCATAAAGAGTTCCAGTAGGGTAAAACTAACCTGTCTCACAATCAATCACTAAAATTTTCATCTAACTCAATTTTCCCTCTCAATTTCAATTCATGGTGAATTTTAAACATTATTGATTCAAAAGAACAATTACCAAGCAAATTGGAATGAGACTTAAACGGAAATAAGAGCTGAAGTTTCATTTCCTTTGCCATTAGGCACCTGTCAATTAAATTCTCCAAGACATCTCCAGGAATCATTTTTATCAATTTAATTTCAGGAATCGAAGATAAAATAAATATGCTTTTGACAGATTTGTTTTAAAAATTCAAAATGCATCAATCATTCAGTGTGTAAAAGGGATTTAAAGG